CAGCTGTGGCCCTGCCGGGGCAGGGGCTCCGGGTGCAGCAGACCTGGGTGTGGCATAAGCCCTCTTGGAGGAGGTTGTCATTAACCCCACCACAGAGCTGCCAGAACTTACATAGGACTGGGGAAACAGACTCTTGAGGGGCACAAACAAAACCTTGCATGCACCAGGACCCAAGAGAAGGGAGCAGTGACCCCACAAGAGACTGACCCAGACTTGCCTGTGAGTGTCCTGGAGTCTCCGGTGGAGGCGTGGGTCGGTGGCCTGTTGCAGGGTCGGGAGCACTGAGTGCGGCAATGCGTGCCTGGGACCTTTTGAAGGAGGTTGCCGTTTTCTTCCTTACCTCCACCATAGTTTGGTCTCAGGTCAAACAACAGGGAAGGAACACAACTCTGCCAATCAACAGAAAATTGGATTAAAGATTTAATGAGCACAGCCCCGCCCATCAGACCAAGACCCAGTTTCCTCCACAGTCAGTCTCCCCCATCAGGAAGCTTTCATAAGCCTCTTATCCTTACCCAGAGGACAGACAGAATGAAAACCACAATCACAGAAAACGAATCAAACTGACCACATGGACCACAGCCTTGTCTAACTCAATGAAGTTATGAGTCATGCCATGTAGGGCCACTCAAGACGGACAGATCATGGTGGAGAGTTCTGACACAATGTCCACTGGAGAAGGGAATGTCAAACCAATTCAGTATTCTTGCCTTCAGTACTCTTACCTTGAGAACCCCATGAACAGTATGGGAAGCCCATACATGGAGGATATTCCAAGGGAAAATGAGTAACTCCTCCATGTGGCTTAGAATTGAGGTTTAAATAAAAACTGAATAGAGAAAGGGGTAGGGGAATGTAGGCCTCTTAGGGGAGAGTAAATATTTTACAGGAAAGAGGTACGGGCCCTTAGAAGAATGGATGGGAGATTTGATAGTTTATGACGAAGTTGGTCTGGATGTGATATAGAATTCCTGTGATATGAGATGAAGCTCCCAGGAAGGGGACTTGTGATGACTGAGTTTCTTTGGAGGCTCCCTCTTTAGGCAGATAAGGTGAGTTCAGAGAAAGCCTCTCCCTGCATTTGCAATTTATCAAGTGCCTATTTAGCTCAAAGTAACCAATATGCCAAAATGGCACATTTTGGGGTGGCATAGTCTGTTACCCATCACTGTCTCCTCCCCTTGGAAAGTTAACAAGGTTCTGGCGCCCTCCTCTGGGAGCCCAGGCATCAGGAGGACATCCTCCTGGATGCTGTAACTGAAGGGCCTGCCTGCCTACTCTGCTTCCTCCCTCAGTGTCACATAAGCTGCCATTAATGGATCTTATACACTGCCACAAACCAGGCACAGGGCTAAGCATTTATCTTCTGGACTGCTCACAGTAACCTTATGATGTCATGGGACCCATTTCACAGATGAGGAAACTGTGAGGAGATGAGGAGCTCATGGGGCTAAGCCTCTTGCCCAAGGTTAAGGGGCAGAGCCAAGATCTGAATCCAAGATGCCTGACTCCACTGTTCACCACTGCATGACTTTTTTATTTTTATTATTCTTTGGCCGCATGGCATGCAGGATCTTAGTTCCCCAATCAGGGATCAAATCTGTGCCCCCTGCAGTGGAAATGTAACCACTGGACTGCCAGGGAATTCCCCTGCCTGACTTTTCTGGGAGTCAGTTCTCTGTCCTTGCATCTGTCCTCCTACTCTACTCATCTCTCAGTCCCTCTTACTAGTGCCCTTTCTCCTCCCCACAAGACGCTCACAACCTCTGACCAAGCTGAGGTCTTTCTGAGCTCTCTGAGTCTCCATCCCCCAGAGGATGCTCTCAGGCCTGCTGCTCCTAGTTGAATACCTATCCCAAATGCCTACCCCTTGGCAGCTCAGAGTCAGAATCTCTTGACAGTATCAGGTCACAAGGTCAAGGGAGTCTTTCAAGAAAGATAGATGTAGGACTTCTCTGGGGATCCAATGGTTAAAACTCTGCACTTCCAATGAAGGGGACACAGGTTTGATTCCTGGTCAGGGAACTAAGATCCCACATGTCTGTGTGGCCAAGTAAATATATAAAATTTTTTTTTTAAAAAGTGAAAGATACCAAGTAAGGTGAAGACTCAGGAGAGGCCTACTGGATTCAGCAACAAGGAGATCTCAGGTGTCCTTGGCAGGGGCAGAGGTGGAAGTACAAGAGCCATACCAGAAAGGAGAAAGTTAATAGCTACAGGAGCATTTCATGCTTACCAAGCACTGCATAAATACTAATTCATTTAATAGTCACAACAACTCTGTGAGATAGGTATTATCTTTGTTTCCCCATAGGGAAATTAAGGACAGAGGTTTAACAGTTTGCTTAAGAACAGGTCACAAAGGTAGTTTACTGTGGAGTCTGGATTTAAAAATATGGGCAGGGACTTCCCTGGTGGTTCAGTGGCTAAGATTCTGTGCTCCCAATGCACAGGTCCTGGGTTTGATTCCTGGTCAGGGAACTAGACCCTATATATTACAATTGAGAATTCACATTCTGCATCTGAAGATCCCGCATGCTGCAACTAACACCTGGTGCAACCAAATACATAAATAAATATTGACTCAATGGACAAGAGTTTGAGCAAACTCTGGGAGATAGTGAAGGACAGGGAAGCCTCTTGTGATGCAGTCCAAGGGGTCGCAAAGAGTTGGATATGACTTAGCGACTGAACAACAAAATAAATAAATATATAAAACGTGATCTTAAAAAAAAATTATCTAGGCAGTCTGGCTCCAGACTCCATGCAATAAACTGCCAAGCCATATATCAGCTCTCAGCTGTGAGGAGGGGAGGGGGCACTGGTGGTTAGGACCAGAAGAGAGGGAGGGGCAAGAGCTAGGGGAGGATAAAGAAGGGTGGGGAAAATGATTTACAGGTGGAGTGGTTCCCTCTCCTTGACCATAAACCAAAGGTACTGGGAAGGGAGATAAAGTGACTCAGGAAGGAGGGGCTGGGTGGGGCCTGGGGACTGCTCCCTCCTGGGGCAAGGCTTCAGGTTCTGCACCTTTACCCATGGCTCTGTGGGAAATTCACAGGCCAGAGATCCAGAGAGTTGGGTAACAGGCAGATGTGAGAGAGCCTCAGATGGGGATGGGAGTTAAGGACTGAAAGGCAGCCAATTGGAAGCACTGTCAGAGAAGTGACAGGACGTCAGGGCCTGAGCTCCCCAGGTAGCAGAAACTCTTTAAGAGAAGCCACAGAAGGAAAGCCACAGAAAAGAGCGTGGGAAGGGGCTGCAGGGCCATGGGAGTTAAGTCCCCAGAACTGGTATCTTGCCCTTTTGCAGGTCAGCTCGTGGGTTTTCCAGACCTCCAGGACAAACACACACAGAGTCCTGTTCTTTCTACATATGGACACCTCACCTGAGCCTGGGAAGGAGAACATAACTCATCAGGCCATGAGTTGGCTCGCAGACCTTGCTCATTTAGGGAGTTTCTTATAAAAAGTGGGGAGAGGGACCAGAAATCTTTCAGGTTAAACGATACATACACCCCAGTGTTCACAGCAGCACTGTTTACAATAGTTAAGACATGGAAGCAACATAAATGTTCATCAGAAGAATGGATAAAGAAGATGTGATATATATGTACACAATGGAATATTACTTAGCCATAAAAAATGAAATAATGACATGGACGGACCTAGAGATTCTCATGCTGAGTGAAGTCAGAGAAAGACAAATGTATATCACTTATATATGGAATCTAAAAAAATGGTATAAAAGAACTTATTTGCAAAACAGAAATAGAATCACAGATGTAGAAAACAAACATAGTTATGGGGGGAGGAGGGGGAGGGATATAAATGGGAGATTGAGACTGATAAATATACATCACTATGTACAAAGTAGATAACTACTAAGAACCTGCTGTATAGCACAGGGAACTCAGTACTCTGTAATGGCCTATATGGGAAAAGAATCTAAATAAAAGTGGATATATGCATATGCATAAGTGATTCACTTGGCTATATAGCAGAAACAAACACAACATTGTAAATCAACTGTAGCCTAATTAAAAAAATTTTTTTAATAAAATAGAGAAAAGAAAAGCCTCCCTGGGTTCAAGTCCTCAGCTTTATTGAGCTGAATCAGATGTAATCCTGTCCAAGGTCTTGTGGGTTGGAGGGGAAACCTCTTTGTAGAAGATTTTAAGGCGGTATGACTAACTGATTCGAGAGAGGACCTCAAAGGAGCAGTGAAAGGGAGTGAGGTCAGAGGCTGATGACAGCAGGTGGAAGTGGGGGCATCTCATAGGCCTTATATCCACGTTAAAAGCCAGGACCTGGCACTGTTTGGCTTGGGGACAGGCCGGCCAGGCATCGGGGGGATATGTCTCTGACTCTCAGTTTCTGCAGGATTGCCAGGTTCTGAGAAGCAACGGTGGACCACTAGGTGGAAACCAAAGGGAAAAGACTGGTTTTTCATGGTGATAGTCGCCCAGGATAAATGCCTGCATGCTCCAGGCTCCGGGCATTCTTGCTCTGAATATTCTCCACTGCCTTGTGAGGGAGAGAGTTATTGATACTGTTTTACAGAGGAGCAAACTGAAGTCCAGAGAGATTAGGTATCTTGGACAAAGCCACAGAGCAGCAGAATTCAACCCCAGGTGTGTCAGCCTCGCAAACTTATGCTCCTAACCACCTCTCCCTGCGTTCTCTCTTCAGGAACCACTTGCAGGGAGAAGCAGCTCACAGCGTGGGGAGGGAGCTTCCCAGGACAGGCCAGAGATTTGATGGAGTGGTGCTCTGGCACAGTGCCTGTCACTTGTCAGTCTCTGCCATCAGCAGCTGTTATAACACTTTATCATGCATCTGTCTTCTCACCTGGAGCGTGGGACAGTCATTTCTGTCACCTTGGTTCCAAGGACATGGTGTGAGCTGTGGGGTCAATGCAGAGGCATTTATAGCACTCAACAGCCAGCCCAGCCCTGCAGGCACAGGAAGACACAGCCGTTCCCAGCACCAGGGGAAGCCAGGTGACAGCCTCAATCCATCAATGATAACCTCAGTCCGGCCAAACTTTATGGACCCAGGAGGTACTTAAGTGTTGTGGGGTGAAGGCTAGCTCAGTTCCCCTTCCTCAGCACAGGCTGCTGTCCAGAGCAGGTAGGTAGGTATGGGGTGGGGGTCAGAGTGCCCTGTGCCTTGAGAGCAAGACCCCACAGTGTGTGGGGCTGGGCTACAGTTGAGTCTCCTGTCCTCAGCAGTTCAGGGGTTCCTCCTAGTCCTGCAAGTGGAAGAGGAGCTTGGGGCAGCCTCAGGCAGGAGAGGATGTAGCTCTCAGCTCCCCTCTGCCCCATCTCATCCTGGTTTGACCCACGTGCCACTGAGTCCTAGGGGGCTGGGGGTGTTCTCTGTCTGCTTGTCTGCTTCCTCCCCTTGGTCTACTGACAGGATGAAGGCTGGGGTCGGGGGGTGACCAGAGTTGTGGGAGGTTACCTGGGGACCTAAGCTGGGTGATGAGAAGGCAGGCTAAGGAGAGGTTCGTGGGGGGAGGACAGCTCCAAGGGCAGCTCTCACGACCTTCTGCCCCAGGCTGCCAGCACCATGACGGTCTCCTACACCCTCAAAGTGGCGGAGGCCCGCTTCGGAGGCTTCTCTGGCCTGCTTCTCCGTTGGCGGGGAAGCATCTACAAGCTCCTCTACAAGGAGTTCCTCCTCTTCATCGCCCTGTATGCTCTGCTCAGCGTCACCTACCGGTGCGAGGGTGAGGGCAGGGTCCCAGGGCTGGCCTGCAGGGGACTAGGTTGCCCACCTCCCTCTAACTCAGGCCCCACCTGACCTTCCCCAGGCTGCTGCTGACCCAGGAGCAGAAGCACGTGTACGCTCAGGTGGCCCGATACTGCAACCGCTCTGCGGACCTCATCCCCTTGTCCTTTGTATTGGGTAAGTTCAAAGGACAATGGGTTTACCCTTGCAGCCCCCTAGCCATCTTTCCTGACCTTTGGGCTGGGCTGCTAGCTCTGAGGGTCAGAATTGACCCAGTGGCACATCTGGAGGTCAACCAGAGCAGGCTCAGCAGACAAGGGAGCTGTGTGCCAGGTCCAGGATTCCCAGAGGACTAGGCCCTGCCTATCACCAGCCCGACCCTCACTCCAAACACAGCCCCAGCCTGCTGCTGGCCTCACACCCCCCTGGGTCCTGCAGCAGAACTGGAGAGAGGTGACACCTCCCTCCGCACCCTCATGGGAAGCGGGGCTCATAGTTAACCACTGTCTGGACTTGAACCATCACGTCTCTTCTGCCTGAGGAGGTCTGCAGTCTTCTTTCTCCCTGCCTAGTTTGGTCCATCAGGGCGTAATCAGAGGATGAGGTTGTCCCTCCGACAAGCGAGGCAGGGTGCTGGAGTCAATGAGTCCTTCTCCCTGCCTTTGTTCCACCTGGCTTGGACCAGGCGTTCTGGTTGCGGGCAGGACACACTGACTTCCAAGCCCTCCATCTTCCCTTCCCATCCCCACTACCCACGGCGGCGACCAGGTTTCTACGTGACCATGGTGGTGAACCGCTGGTGGGCCCAGTACACAAGCATCCCGCTGCCGGACCAGCTGATGTGCGTCATCTCGGCCACCGTGCACGGCGTGGACCAGCGTGGCCGTCTGCTGCGCCGCACCCTCATTCGCTACGCCAACCTGGCGTCGGTGCTGGTGCTGCGCTCTGTCAGCACGCGCGTGCTCAAGCGCTTTCCCACCATGGAGCACGTGGTGGACGCAGGTGCCGCGCTCAGAGAGCACTGGGAGGGACTGGACCGGACCTGCCCCGAGGGTCTCCTAGGCGGGGAGGTTTGACCACCAGGGGGAGCTCCAGGGACCCAGAGCGTTGAGTCCTGGAGGCCAAGGATGAGACTTCATTCCTTTCTCTTCAACCCTGCAGGTTTCATGTCCCAGGAAGAGAGGAAAAAGTTTGAGAGCCTGAAATCTGACTTCAATAAGTACTGGATTCCTTGCGTCTGGTTCACCAATCTGGCAGCCCAGGCCCGGAGGGACGGGAGAATCCGTGATGACATTGCTCTCTGCCTGCTCCTGGAAGTGAGTCAGCCTAGGACAGGGTCCATCTGCCCTCCTCCCCCTAGTTTTGCATACTGCAATCATAATTTCAGTGCTTAACACCTACATGGGGTCGATTATGTAGCGCAGCAAGTGTGAGGAAGTGAGGAAACTGAGGCAAGAAGCGGGGAAAAAAACTTGCCCAAGTCACACAGCTAGTTAGTGGAGCTGAGATTCATCCTCAGAGCTTCTGGCTCCAGGGTCTATCCTTGCAGTCACTGTGCTAAACTGCCTTCCATCACAGGCACCCCAGCCTGACAACACCTCTGAAAGCAGAATGAGACCTAGCCCAGGCCTAAATGTGTATTGGACTCCCCGTCCCCTTCTCCTTTCTTCCTTTCTATCTCCACTGACTTCGTCTTCCTGCTGTTCCACCAGGAGCTGAACAAGTACCGGGCCAAGTGCAGCATGCTCTTCCACTATGACTGGATCAGCATCCCCCTCGTCTACACCCAAGTAACTGCCTCTCACCTTCCCAGCCCCAGTGCCTACTGAATGTCCTGTGCTGTGTGTGACACTGAGAACTAGAGATGGTACCTGCCCAGGGGCAGTTCAGTCCAGTGAGACACTAAATAGCCAAGGGCTAATCCTCAAAGCCTCTCTGGACCCCCACTAAGATGATCCCCTCTGACTTGGTGCTGCCACACCTTGCTACATGTTGTATTTATTTTTTATTTTTTAAAATATTTATTTATTTGGCTGGGTTGGGTCTTCTTTGCAGCACGGGGGAGCTTTAGTTGGTGCATGCGAACTCAAGGTGCAGCAATGTGAGATCTAGTTCCTTGACCAGGGATGGAACCTGGGCCCCCTACATTGGGACCTCACCCCCAAGGAAGTCCCCGCTACAGATTTTAATTACTTGTTAGATCTACCACTGACCCTCGGGGCAGAGACAGCATTTTAACCTGTCCCACTCAGCCTGGCATCCCCTCCTCCAGGTGGTGACCATAGCGGTTTACTCCTTCTTTGCCCTCTCCTTGGTGGGCCGCCAGTTCGTGGAGCCAGTGGCAGGTGCTGCCAAACCTCGGGAGCCTCTGGAGCCAGGGCCAGCGGTAGGCGATCTGGACATGTATGTGCCTCTCACCACTCTGCTGCAGTTCTTCTTCTATGCTGGCTGGCTCAAGGTGGGCACTTCAGGGGGTGGAGAAATGGACTGAGGACCCACCCACACTTTGGGGTTAGAAAGTAGGGCTCTGAGCCCAGAAAACACTCTCTTACCACCTGCAGGTGGCAGAGCAGATCATCAATCCCTTTGGTGAGGATGATGACGACTTTGAAACCAACCAGCTTATAGACCGCAACTTGCAGGTGATTCAGGGTCTGGTGGCAGCTCCCTGGAAGTCGGGTTCTCCCTCCTTGCCAGCTCTCAGTCCGGGTTCGCAGAGGAGAAGGGGATTCTTGTGACCTGCTGCTCCCAGGTATCCCTGCTCTCTGTGGATGACATGTACCAGAACCTGCCTCCCACGGAGAAGGACGCCTACTGGGATGAGGACTCGGCGCAGCCGCCCTACACAGTGGCCACGGTGGCCGAGTCGCTGCGGCCTTCCTTCCTGGGCTCCACCTTCAACCTGCGGTGAGTAGTCCACGCCGGCCAAGGCAGGACCTGAGTCAGTGGCCAGGCTCCAGTTCCCCGCCCACCCTCTGGGCGCCCAGGACTCGGTTCCTCCCGGTCCCCCTGCTGTCAGAGGCTTGCTCACACAGCCCTCCTGCCTGCCCGCAGCATGAGCGACGACCCTGAGCAGAGCCTGCAGGTGGAGGCGTCCCCTGGGCCAGCCCGGCCGGTGACCGCGCAGACCCCGCTGCTCGGCCGCTTCCTGGGCGTAGGCGCTCCCTCGCCAGCCATCAGCCTCCGGAACTTCGGCCGCGTCCGCGCCCCCCGGACCCCGCATCTGCTGCGCTTCCGGGCCGAAGAGGGCGGCGACGTCGAGGCAGCGGACCGCATCGAGGAGGAGGCTTCAGGGTCCGGGGACGAGACCCAGGAGCCCTGAGCCAATCAGGCGGGGCGGGCCGTGCAGCTGCCTCCCGCAGGCCCGCCCCGGGCCCACTTTGCGGGCCCTGCGAAGCTATTAGAGCAGCATTCCCCCGTGCACCAAGCCCGGGCACCTAGGGACCGCCCCTGATGGCAAAAGGGCCTGAATCAGGGTAGGGGATGCTTCCACGCTGGCTTGGAGGTGAAGCTAGGGCACAAGGGCGAGGCACAGAGGACTAGAGCCCAGGTGCACGGTTTATTTCCGCTGCGATTTGGGGCTAGGTCAGTTCTTAAACTTGAGGGAGCATCAGTTATCACTGAAGGGCTGGTTAAAAAGTCTTGGGTACCACCCCCAGCATTTGATTCAAGTCTGGGAGAGAGGTTAAGAATTTGCTATTTCTAGTAGTTTTCCAGGGAATGCTGCTGCTGCCCCCAGGGTCACATAGAAAGATGTTTAGGATATACCTTATTCTGATAACCTCACCCTGAAGAGGGGCCAAAGTGTATACTGGGTACTTTATCTGTTATGTTCAATTTGTTTACAATGAGAATGTAATATTATTTGTGCAATTAAAATTGCTTAAAACTGAACTGGCACACTCTGAAGTGGTCTAAAGATAAGGGTTTGGGGAAAAAAAGAGGGTTTGCGGGTATGCCCTGGAAGCTGACACTGAGATGTGAAGGCACCCAGCCTAGACTTGCAGCATCTGAACAAGCCCTTCTCTGTTCCCACCAAACAGCGAGAAAGGACAATTTAAGGGGTAAAAACTGCAGGTCCATCTCTGTGGTGGGGCTGGGGCACTCAGCTGATGGGAGTAAGGAGGGGCCTTTGGAAAACAGCCCCACCGAGTACTAGAGTTGTTGCTAAACTGGGTTTCTCTAAGATTCCTGCCTTCTAAGCAATTGGTGAATGCCAAAGCTGAATGTTAAAGCCAAAGGAAAACAAATGCCAAAACTCAAAAACGGAAGGCATGAAGAATGTAGGGAGAGCTTGAGGACATCAGCCTCTGGCATTGTTGACAGGATTACAATGCTGGGTTCCACTTTCCTGCTGGGTGATGGGATACTGAACTTTTCTCAGCCTTGGTTGACAAACCTGTACTGTCCAGAAAAGGCACCTTGTGGTCACCATTCACTCAGAAGGCACCTGGAAGTGTTTCACAGGATTGAGCGAGGAAGTCTTGCTTCAGGTTGAGTGCTCATCAGGGAGAGCAGTGGAGATGTAGATGCATTCAAGGCTCTTTTGTTGCTGTGCCACGTCCAACACACAGCTCTCAGAGCAAACATCAGCTAATGACCAGGTTGTCAGATGACTGGGTGGGAAGGCAGAGGTCAAGTCTCCCCAGAGTCAACGGTTTTAGAGGTTTTAAAGGGTTGGTCTTAGTGGTCCACCTTTTCCGACTGCTTAGTCAGAAGTCTGCATTACAGAGTCTGTAATTAGCCAAGTTGATGAACCAATTTAGATTTGCAGCTCATTTAAGACAAGTACTTTTCAACCACTTTAAATTGGACAAAACCTTTTCTTTAGAACTTTAGTACATATTTGAATGGTATATTGCTGTGCCTCTTTCCAGGTACTAGAGATACAGCAGTAAACGGTTACCTGTTTCCCAGATAGATTTTAATAGAGGGGGCAAAATAAGCAAATAAACAAAAGTTATGCCAAATAAGGAAAAAAATAGAGGCAAAGATGGCATGGAAGGGAGTGCTATTTAAAAGCAGTATTGTAGGGACTTCCCTGATGGTACAGTGGTTTAAAATCTGCCTTGTAATGCAGGAGACATAGATAGGTTTGATCCCTGGTCGGGGAACTAAGATCCCACATGCTGTGGGGCAACTAAGCCCACACGCCATCACAACTGCTAAGCTGGTATGTTACAACTAAGACCTGACTTGGCTAAATAAATATTTTTAAAAAGGCATTATTTTAACAAATTTAATAAAGAAAATGGTTTATATACAAGAGAAGCTTAAAAAAATGATCAGAGAGCTGGGGTTGTGTTAGAGGAAACAGAAGAGCAAACAAGGATGCAGAACAGTGACCAGAGCAGCAGTTGTGCTTTCTGCTCAGTTGCCAGCTCTTTTCAACCGTTGGACTGCAACCTGCCAGGCTCCTGTCCATGCCCTCCTCCAGGAGATCTTCCCAACCCAGGAACCAAACCTGTTTCTGTCTCCTGCATTGGCAGAGCAGGTTCTTTACCACTAGCGCCACACAAAATTTGGTGACATTTGATGTGCGAGTTATGACCCAAGGATGACCTAAGATTTAACCTGTCTTACGAAGATCACTATTTACTACAATCAAATAACTGAGGAACTATGAAAAGGGAAAGCTGAAGAAACCAATTCAACAATTTTAACAAACTTGACTTTTGAGTAAGGAAAAGGGAAAGGATTAGAGTTCAAGAGAAAATTAAGATGTGTATAACTTGCTCAACAATGCAGAAATGTAGAACACAATTTCAAGGTTTCTAGACCAGGATCCTAAAAAAAAAAAAACAAAACCAAAAACCCAAAACCAAAGTCTGTATACAGGGTCTCTAAGAAAACTTTAGGGAGGCAACATGGCTTTGGTTACAATGATGGTCCAGTCAACAGCCCAATACTGCAGGGGCCCCAAGCTGGGTTACCTCCCTCATAGCCTCTGCTCAGCCTGCACAACACATCCCTGTTGCCACTGAAACTCAGCCTCAGGAGTGAGAAGTGTTCCTCCTGCTAGAGTCACAGCCCCATAACAGGCCTGGCCTTCAGGCAGGGGGAGTTGGGGCATTCTATAGTGTGCCAAACAATGAAGTATTCTCAGAACATGAACACGGCATAGAACAGTATATGCCTTTATTAGATGAGCTAAGACAGGAGGGAAGAGGGTTTATTTGCCTTTCCGGGCCTTGATCTTCCTCAGATAGAACTCGAGCTCTTTTCCCTCTAGCACATAGCCGTCTGCTCGGCCACACTGGCCTGGTCTTGAAGCGATGCATGCTGGAAGAGAGTATGTGGTCCTCAGCAAAATGACACTGTGGCCTTACCCACACCTATGCATCCCCTTAAGTGCCCACGTTGGTCCAGGTATCCTGGGGGCAGACACGAAGCCCGATGTCTCCTCAGATATACTTTATCATCACTTTGAAAGTCAGTAGCAGAACTGGACAAAGTTTTCATCACTGAGACAATCCCCTCAGCCTAGACACAGACTTCTCAAGATACTCCTCAAACTCAAGAGGCCCAGACCAAGCTCAGGCCTATGGGCTCTGCCCACTATCTTCCATTTCCGCTTCAAACTAACCAGATGATCAAATACTCTGATTTGTGCTTGTGTGCTATTATCAAACCCTTCCGGTGAACTCTCTAGCCTCCCCCAGAGAGCACACCGCATCTTGAGATGCCTCCTCCCCTAAATGCAGAAGTCATCTTACCAAGAAGCTTGCCCTGCTGGAACTGCTCCTCTAGAAGACTGCTGATTTTCGCATTCTTTTTCCTCTCATCGTATTTCTTCTGAATTTTCTTTGATCGTTTCTTGTTTAAAATCTCTTCCTCCTCAGGAGTCTGAATAAAGGAAATACAGATGGCTTAGAGGGGCTCACCAAATCCTAGTTCAGGAAGGTCACATCCCACAGCCCTACCACCTTCCTCAGCACTAAAGGCTTTCATCTCTCTCCCTTCAGTAGCAGAACTGGACGGAGTTTTCATCACAAGAAGGTTAGAATCAAGCTGGCCTCCCCCTGCACCCCTACAGGAAGTTGCTCCCCAAACACGCACCAGCTTGGCCCCCTTCTTGCGGCCCAGGGGCAGTGCATAGTGGGACTCGTACCACTGTCGGTACGGCGTGCTGTCGATGAGCACAATACAGTTCTTCACCAGGGTCTTGGTACGGACCAGTTCGTTGTTGGATGCATTATAGACAACATCGATTATTCTTGTCTTGCGTGTACAACCTGCTCACAGAAGAAATCCAGAATCAAGCCAAGTAAACCTGATGCCAACAATCTTCCATTCCCACCCTAGTAAGGCCTAAGAAGGGAAACTCTAAGCCCCCATCGGGCCATAGAGCAACAGTTCATCTTCCACAAACCTATCTTTCCAGAGGTGGCTGGCACCCACACACTGTCTCCAGGTTCAGTCCCAATCCCTAAGGCTATACGAGAGTTAAGAGGCAGGACAGGATTGGAGATAAGTCTCCACAACCTCAAAGCTGTTCAACAGGAGAACTTTAGTATCTTGGTCCAGGCCATGGACTTTCTGCTAAAAGCACTTACTGAAGCTTGAAAACAAGGATTAGGTGCTGAGTTCCCACCCACGCCTGCAGGGCTTCACTCACACTCCGAGCCCCAGGAGAAGTTCCCCACGTCCAGCCTCAAGGCCCGGTACTTCTTGTTGCCTCCCCGCACACGGACTGTGTGTATGCGGCGGGGGCCAATCTAGAAAACACAAGGAGGCAGGAACTAGGTTATCAAGGAGAAGCAAGACAGAGAAGGGAACCCGGGCGCGACGGAGGTAACAGTCAGTGTAACTATGACAAACCCTAGCATTGGCAAGTGGCACATAGGTGACCAAGACGGCCACAGCCACGCCTAAGGATACTTTTTCATCATTCCAGTCACCTCCAAGAGAGAAAGCCCGATTCCAAACATTGAAAATTAAGGCTCGGTGCACTGAGGAGCCCACTCTCCAGGCGCCCTTGCAGGTACTACTAGGACACGGGGGCAGTCTCCATGCAATCTCTCAGTATCGACCCAACACGCGAAGGGGAGGAGATCGCCTAGTCCCCACAGCAACTCGCAGAGCCCCACAAAGATTCAACCGACCCCGCAGAAGCGACCTCCCGGGCGGTGAGGACCCGCACGCACCTTTGTGTTGGCAGCGGGGCGTCCCAGCTCATACTTCCGCTTCTTGTGGTAGGGCTTTCTCTTGCCCCCGGTCTTACGGCGCTTGTGCCAGTTGTCCCGAGAGATGCCTGCGTGTGGAAGTGGGGGGCGGGAGCCTGAGCCAGGGAGCCCGGAGCCGAGGCCGCCAGCCCAACGCCCCACGCCGGCGGCCGCACGCTCAGCTCTCCAA